GAGAACTTCAATTTGGGCAGCACATCTGTGGGGAGCAGCCACATGTTAATGGAACAGGAGCCGGGTAATGCAGATTAGAGCTAGCCCTGCCCTTGAGTGGCATAACTTTGAGCCACATAACGAGCGCTTCATACCGCTTTAAGGGGGTTATGTGTGGACAGTCCAGGGGTTAAGAGCTCCAGGAGCTGCATAACAAGGCCCTGCGAGGGGATCATAATAATGTCAGAGAAACACCAAGGTCTCTAGTCTAGCAGGTGGAATCAAACAGCAACTGCCTCACCAATTCCCAGAGAGCCAGGGCTCTGGTTTTGACAGCCGTAGTCCTAACGGCATTATGTAGTTGGAAGCTAGACACAGAGATTCTGCCTCTTTCTTTTTGCTTTATGTTTCAAAGGAAAGGTGTAAGATGGGACATAATATGATCACAGGAGGCCTCTCCCTATCTTGGCTTCAGGGAGAAAGGAGCTAGAAAAAAAGATCACTAAACTCAACTCCATTCCTTTTGGGAAATATTTATTGATTGCAAACCTAGTGCTCTACTCAGTAGCTATAAACTGTCACTGATTTTGCTATTACAGACTAGCTGCAAAGGATTTTTTATTGCAGTCATCCTTATAATCTGCTATACTTAGAGTAATAGCTTTTTATTGCTATTATGTGTTCATTTGAAAAAGAGCACTTTGGTAAATATTAGAAAACACTTGTAGAGATACCTGTTTGTGGAAGGAATCAGGGAGGACAGACAACCTGTACAATAAAGAGAAGAAAGAAAACAAGAAAAAAAATATTTTTCTATACCCAAATATATATTTTGGTATAGAAAGGAAGTGTCTTTCCTTTCTATACTCAATAGGGAATTTCAATAACCCTAAACTCATTTCAGCACTTTGATTAATCTGATGTGATTAGAATCAAATTTGGACTAGGGTCTATAGATACTACAGTGGAACAAGAAAATAATAATAATTGGTTTTGTTTTGAATGATTTCCTATAAGGAGATTAAAGCAGGAAGCCTGAGAGATTAAAGCAGGTGTTCTCTCCTGTCTTGGGGGTCTTCAAGAGGAGGCTGGATAGATATTTGGCTGGGGTGATATGACCCCAGCACTCATTCCTGCCCGGGGACGGGGGTTGGACCTGATGATCTGTTTAGGTCCCTTCTGACCCTAGGCACTATGATACTATGGTTGTACATTTCCATATAGGAGGCATGGATTTCCAACAGATTGGTCCATACATGATTCACCAAAGCAAAATGGTGCATGCACAAACTGGTGCTTCAGTGAGGGATAGTGGATGTTTCAGAACATTTCTGTATAAACTAACAAAAAGCAGCATCTCTCTGTCCAATTAGCTAACCACTAGGCCAACATCTTGGATGTGTTAACGCTTCATTTACATAGGAACTATTAGTTATTCCGTGTTCCTGCATTCTCAAACAAAAATTCACAGCTACAATTTTCCAGCTAAGTATCTCAAATTAGGCTTCCAGTGCCACATTTTGGCCTCTGAATAATTAAAGGGGCCTGAGCTTTTGGAATTTGTGTGTGGTCAGCCCCTCCGGAAATCCAACTTCTCCGATGCAGAAAAGTATCATTAAGCATCAGTTTCAATAACATTGGCCCATTTTTTTTCAAAAATGCCACTAACTTAATAGAGAGTATCCTTTATTTCTTCTTCAAATGTGAACTTGTGCAGTTTCCTCTTGTAGGTTTGAATAGCAGCATTTGTCGGGTCACACCTGCGGTATGCTTGCGTTCCTGTGTTTTCACCTAATGGTATCAAAGGGCAGAGCGGCTACAATCAGTGCTCTGTTCCTTCATTAATTCAGAATCCTAGATATGGAGAGTTACAGAAACAGGGATGGCGGGGGCAGGTATAAATACATCAGGGTGGGAAGGAATAACAGAAAGTAATAAGGCTTCTGCTAAATTGGAGGAGACTCTAGTGAGAAAGGAGAACGCTGAGAAGGCTAAAATGCTCAGCAACACTGGTACTTGGTTCTTATTGCAAAGGGTGAAGAAAGCAGGCACAATAAGATGTACAACAACTAGAACCTGGTAATATGAGGTATCAAAATGATGTAGGGTTGAGTAAACATACCTAGGTCACTGTTAATTCTGACAAGCCCCACATACAAGGCATAACTGGGCTCTTGAGTGTCCTGAGCAGCAGCTGCACATGGGCAGGATCAAAGGCTGTGCTGCTGGTGCTGTCTGGGCTGGAGTAGAGCTGCTGCTATTTGGTGCCTGGGGTTAGTGCCCCAATCACTCCCCTTTGTTATGCTACTGCCCACATGTGAACTTCCTCCCCACAGTGGTGGCCAGATCACCGTTTTAAACACAACAATTTTAGGCTGTGAAGTTTAGACATAACCGAAACAATATTTGCTAGCAACCTTGGTTTTCAAGGGCTTGAAAGCTTCCCCATGTTTAAACAGGGTTTGATGGGTACTTAACGCAGCCCATAAAGGAATCCTGTAACATGGCCTAAATGTGTGTGCATTCACTGAAGTATTCAGCCTGACTTTTTGACTTTGCCCTTTGAAGTTGATGCAAGTTCTCCCTGCCCACTGCAATATTAACCGCATTTACTCATATCCAGGAGGAGGTTTTTTCCACCCCCCCTGTTCAACATGGGGAAAAGAAAACCTCATCTTAGAACTGAACACCAGGCTGCTCCAGCTGGGAGCTGTGGGGAGAGGCCGTGTGGGGAGTCTGGCTCAGCCAAGGACAGCAGCAATGTAGCACAGGTTCCTCCTTCCAGTGTCTGCTTCCCACCTGGCTCCTCTCCCCACCTCCCACCTCCTGTCCCTGTCCCCCTCGCTGGGAAAGGGCAGGTGGGGAAGAAGGAATCTGCATGCTGCTACTGCTGAACCTGGCCAAGCCAGGCTGCCTGCACCCTCACTCGCCACAGCTCCCAGCTGGAGCAGTCTGACTCCCAGCATGGGCTTGGGGGGAGCCCCAGAGCCACTCCTGACATATTCCAGCCCTGCCCCATGCCGCAGGAGGAAGCTGTGGTGGCATGCAGGTTCCTCCTCCTCTACCCAGCTCCACTCCCCCTGCCCATCTCCCTTGCTGGCTGGGAGCAGACAGCCTGCTCCCCACGCTGTTTGCCACCCCACTACCTACCCTTTCCCCGCACCCCCACTTTTCCCACTGCTTACTGTTTCTGCTACAGCACCTAGGGGGACAAATTTAAGGCAAACTTCCAATAATTAGTTTCTAGACATGGAAAATTGTAACCAATTCCCAATTTGCCATATCTAGAAACCAATTACTTGGGGGGGCGGGGGTGGTCATCTTAAACTCAAAGGCATCTTGGATTTGGATAAATGTGGTCATTTCAAAATCCAGGTCAGTCCTTACAAAGTTTCTACTATTATTAATGTAACAACAAGTAGTATTAGTATTAATAATAACGGTGACGGTTATTACTATCACAATCACCACCTGTATGGTATACTCACAACAATAACATGCGTTTATTGGAAAGAATGCTCCCAGGCCCTTATTTGTTATCTCCCATGTAGACTGACATTTCTTCCGTAACGAACACCTGGCCCGAGTACAATCTGTTTTCAGAAGCATTTGTTTTCTTGTGAAACCTACACGGTTTGGTGACCGTTTCCGCCTCATAGCTCCATCTACTGGGACAATTTCTAATCTATTCATGTTCTCATCTCCTTTTCCATTTCCATAGCAGCTATAGCTTATCAGATAATACCGGGGTAAACAGACTGTAACATAGGTGTCCACAGTTTGGAGAATGTTTTTAATAGGTGCATTTCTTGTCTTTGTGCAGTATTCGGTCAAGAATAAAGGCTCAAAATAGAGAGATGTAAGGCAAAGATATCCATTTCAATTTTGTTTACGTAGTTCCTAAGTATTTATCTAAATCAATACAGGCGCCTACCATCTCACAATTTACTTCAAACCACTCACCATTTCTGAATTACGTTTTCCTTTCTTTCCTAAGTAGCCACTGCTGCAGTATCACAGCCATGCCAGAAAAATACCCGTGCCTGAAATATTTGGTGCATTTAAGAAAAGACTCTGCCTTTTCATTACAACAATTTTTCCTCCTGTTTGGAGGTTTAAGGCCAGAAAGATCCATTACAACCATCAAATTTGACTTTCTTAATTGTAATTGGTTCTACACCAAAATGTACTTAGATAATAATATACAAAATCAGAAGAGAGATCCTGCTGTGCAAAACCACTTTAAGATTGTTTGAGTCTTCTTATGCTTTTATTCTGAATTACAGGATGACTTGCTACCAATTTATCTTTGTCAGAAGCTCCAGTTTTGTTCAGAGCGTTTTATCATTCCTGTTTTCGTGTCAATAACAGGATGTGGCAAAAGGGTGAATGTAGAACTAGGAATACCCCTACAATTTGTGTGGATTAAATGGAAGCTATGCATTGGCAAAACAGGGACGCACTGACATCCTGTTACCACCAGTGGAGCATCATCAGCTGTTCTCTGCGGTGCTCAAGTTGAAAGGACCCCATTTAAGTGAGGCAGGACAAGCTGAAAGCTGTGTCTGCGATCAGACATCCTCGATACCTTCATGTGCTACAACAGTCTTCTGCTTACTCCAGTTCTTAGACTGCTTTCCCAGGACAAAGCCTCCTAGCCTTCTAACTCACAGCTACAGCCACCTTGACTCTATTTATAAGCTTTGGGTGGTCATGCTGGGCTCTTGGTGCCAATAATATGGGGTCAGAGCTTCAGGTGTTGTGTTATACATACATCAGCCAAAATATCTGTGCCTCAATCACTGATTGTGTCAAAATACTTGATTCCGAAGTGTATGTAGTGCTGTCCATTCCAAAACGTCCTGCCAAATAGCAAATGCTTCTACATTTTGAAGTTTTTTTCCTATGGGTAGAGCATAGTCTATTTTGTTTGAGAGTGTTATTCTTAAGTAAACTTTTCTCGCTATCTGTTACACCAAATTTTGTGTTTGCTCTTTATGTTGGCAACAATTTTTTAAAAAATTTTTATTTAGCAATTTGAGTTACACAGATGCAGCTGGTTTCCAGGTGAAGAAATCCATAATGCAGTACCTGCCTTTAGGAAAAAATGCAGTTGTTGCAATGAGGGGAACTAAGAGACTTTCCAGTTTTGCCAAAGACTGTCTGTGTCACCTTGGGCAAATCATTGAATGCTCTCTTCTTTAGTCTTCCCATGTGCAAAATAGGGAAAAGAACAATTCCCTACCTTGGAGACGTTGTGAGACTAAATTCATGAATGCATGTCAGGTGCTTACGTACTGCAGTGATGAGCTTCACAGAAAGTAATAAGGAGGATGATTCTCTACTTGTTCCCGTGGTATGAATGAACTATCCTCTTTCCTCTGAGTTGGACAGAGCTTGCCTTTCTGACTGTTTTCTGAAAAATAGAGAAGGTGGCTGAGACACCTACTGGCCATCGTACCTCACTACTGGGTAGGTGTGGGCTATCCTGGGGGGATTGACATTTAACAGTGCAGTGCCCTGCTGTCACCATTTTTCAAACTCATAATGAGCAAATATTCAAGGTCGGAGGAGTCTCTAACTTACCAGTGCTACCATCTGAAAATAAATATCATGGGTAATTAACTTCCTTTACAAGACAGAGTAAAATAGATATTGACTGTCCTTTCATATTTATAAAGGCAAAGAGTTATCCTTTGGGCTGAAAATTATTCAGTGAATAATCATTCATCATTATCCAAAGCCCATCATTGTGGCTAGCATTTCTATCCATGGGGAAAATGTTTTTTTTTCTAAAGACCCAAACTCCAATCACTATTTCTGCAACACAAACATGTTGTTCTGATTAGAAAGCTCACTGCCTGGGCATTTCTGTGTAGCCTGCTCTGTTTGAAACCCTGCCTTTTTCTGACTTCACTTCCTGAATCCGTTAACAACACTCACAGCCAAACAAAATACATGTTCACAATGCCGTTATTTGCAAAATATTCCCTTGCGAGTACAGCTGGGGCAACAAAAAGAGAGTTTCTCTCTAAACCTCAAGAACTGAGTGTTCTGCCTACAGGCAAGGAATGGGATGCACCAGGCAATATTTCATCCCAACAGTCAAATATTAAATCACAGCATTATACTGTATTAATGCAGGCATGTCTTTCACTGTTTTCTGCCTATCTAATTATGCAGAGTTGAAACAACCTAGTGACAGCACTGAAGAGAGTTCACAAAATAGATTGAGTAGGCAGAGGCAGGGTAAAGCTCCCCAGTGCATACTGCCCAGACCACACATTTCAAAGCAGATGCTGAAAAGGAGAAGAGTAGTACTCACTGTGCCTCGTTCCTCCTTCCACCCTTCACCTTGTGGTGACAGTGCTGGCAAGAAAGGTAATTAGTGCCAGTTATGATGTGGATTTTCTAACATGGACATCCCTGTACTTCCCATATTGTTGAAAGCAGCAACTTATTTCATAGAGGCCAATGAACAACCATCCAATAGTGCCCACTTTCATTAGCTGCTGTACTACTAACCAACTTTTTCCTGAAAATGTCATTTGTGCGAGCTGGAACACTTCATGACTGCAGTGGTGAATGTATGTTATGGTGACAGGGTGGAGCCATTTGTCGTTCAGCTGCATCTAATTAAAACAATCTTCTAGGAATGTGTTTCCAAAAACACAAACAACGCTTAGATGGTTAAGCGAGATCCTTGTTAATATGGTCTATAGCACAGCACTGTCAAGAGTTAAACCTCTACCTTTGCAGGTAATTAATCTCCTTGCCCTGCTTATTTTGCTAGTTGGCACTTGTCAAAGCCCTGCAAAGCCACACCCCAGCAGTGCTGTGTGTTATCCCTCTGCTGACTATTCCTACATATGGTCAAAATCAACTTACCTTCCGGGTTGCTGACATCAGCAAAATGTACTCTTGGCAAATTACAGTATCCTCCCAGTAACCCTTTGTTTGGTAAGTGTTGTCACAATTTTATGCATTTGACAACAGCAAATAAAATCTAAACACAGTAATCCCAACTCCAGCACATATATTATCAGGGAAGTAATGTTACTATAACTCAAACTTTAAAACAATCTACTCTATGAAATGATTCATATCCCACAAGTTATATCGTGGGCCAAAAGAATCACTCATCAAAGGGGACTAACGTACACTACTACTGTATACTACTATAAAGGAACTACTATCCTGAGAGAAAGTAGTTACAAAAAGTTTCTGGGTATCCAAGTTTTGTTACTAGTTAACATATGTGTTTATTATGAATGATTTTGGCTGACATTTTGCTAAGTACTGTGTTTTCTTACAAGTGTTATAACTTTAAAAAGATGAGACTTTTAAGATGGACTAAACAGAATTATAAATTAATGTATTAATGATTTTTCATTCTGCCTCTCTCCCCTCAGCATCTGTTACCTCTTAGCTATGTGGCTCCAACCCCCCTCCCACTCTAAATGCATTTATATAAAACAGATTGTATTGTTAAAATTAATTGGACACAGAATCAGTATGTTGAAAATAGTGAATGATAAATATTACTATTTTCCACAAGCATGCACGGTTTTTTTTCAGAACTATTAAGTACCTTGTTTCTCAGTTGTTGCTTGTATTTTTAGTCTATAAATTATTTTACATGCACACTGACAATGACAGGTAAGCTGTTGTCATAATAATGTCTTTTTTGAAAAAGAAAAATCCTCCCTAAATGCCTTGCTTTTTATTTACACCCTAATTTTCAATGTAGAAATAAAAGGTTTCCTCACTGTTAGCTTTACCCACTTTTCATATGGATAAATAAGTATACAATCAAAAGCATCTGAAAGGGAAAGGAAGTAGAGATAGGGAAAGGGTTATAGAATGATTTTATTGTGACAACAGCATTGTCATAAATACTTATGAACAGAGATCACCTTTTATCTAGGAATAGTTAGACAAAAAGAAATGAGGTGACGAGTTCCATGTGAAGGATACATTTTTTTAAATCTCCTATTTTAAGTATGTTGTTGAGGACACTAGTTTACTAAGAAGCATCTAACATTAAATAGCCAGTTACAGTTCACACTATTTCAGCACAGGACAGTTCGATACAACAGCAGATTCCTCCAGCCTGCTTCACTTTTTTTAATGTACTGTCCAAACTGCTACTGGATTATGGTAGCCAATCCAGACCACATAAAGGCAATAAATAAAGATGCAAAAACCACATCTGTTTATATTACAGCATTGGTTTTGTATCCCCACTTTGACACATTCCTCAGATGTCTGTTGTTATAGAGTAAGTTGAACATCAGTCTTACCCCTTAGAGTTTGGGATACAGGATACTGTCCTGATCTAGGTACTGGGGAGGGGGAGAAGGGAAATGCATTTTTAAAAACAAGTTCCTAAAATATAAACAGAATTTTTCTGGGATTCTTTTCCAGAAGCAAAAGCATAAGAGAAAATTATACTTTTATTACAAACTGCAAATTCAGGGTGCTTGGGGAAGAAACTCTGTCTTATTTACAAAACAATACTGGGCAGACCCCAAATAAACAACATAAAAATAACTTACAAAGTCATGAAGTAGTTTATTGACATTAATCAGCTTTCATAAAATAATAATAATAAAAAAAAAAAAGATATGTACATACACAATTTAAGTGAAGGCAGCCAGCATAGTTCATTTTTTTCTCCTCAGCCTCCCAAAAGCCTCCCTCCCACTTTTTTTTTTTTCCCTTTAAAGAGAGTACTACAGAAAGCAAACTACAGTCTCTATTGCAGTTTAACCTTTAATACTGAATGATCATCGAATGTTAGGTCCATGCAGGTCTTGGTCAGTGTTAAAACAAGAGATCTGAAATCTCCTCGGAGCAGGCACAGCACTTCTTAGAGCAGTGCTGCTGGCTGCTTCACCCACTCGCTTGGACTGAAGGCTTGCCAGTCTTTCCACACATGCGCTTGGCGGGGCGCAGGCAGGGGATGAGGCCTGGCAGGGGTCCCCGCACGGTGCCCTCTGCCTCCTACTTACCAGCACGGAGTCCAGGTCCAGCTCCCTGTGGCAGTGAG